TCCCAAGAGAAGATAACTCTGCAATACGCAAAGACGGAATAGCTGTCTTGGGCTTTTTAATATATAATGTATATATTTGGCAAAATAACAAATTATGAATGTTTCAGGAAACAAGGACAAAAATTGGGTAAGCGGGAAGGAAAATATTTTTCATTTTTCATTTTTATTTTAATGGATCAATACAATGCTTTATTGCAAATTTTACAATGCATTTCCTCACACTAAAATGGCTAGTCAGTAATAAAGAATGGGGTCAGGCTCCCAGAAAAGGAAAAAGGTACATTTTGATAAGTGGCTGATCGTTGCCTGGCTTACAAGATAATCTTGGATACATAAAATAGGCGATAAAATGTTCTAGGTTTGGCAAGAAAATCTAAGGTAGGTAGGAATACCTGAAACACAAATGATATATTTTGGCCTTAAATCACCATCGATCCTCCAGGGTTTATACTCATTTATGCTCTCTGCAAGCCTGGAATATGCCATGACATGTACGCCACCTTGTGGATGAGACAATAAGAATAAATTAAAACGAAATTGAATTGAGACAATACGACTAGTTTGATCCTTTGATGTACATCAAAAGAAGCTCACGGTAGTGTAACGGTAAAATTGACCAGCTTTGAAGGTAGGAGTCGCTCCTCTGTAATTTTCAATGGACGGGTACCATCCTAGAAATTGGTATTGGTCAGATTTTTTAACCCGAGACAAATAAAAAAGCTTGCCATGAACTTTCAATTTTGCTATGACATCTATTAAACGGGCGCAGAGATTGAAAGTGAGTGTAACCACTGGAGTATCGAGGATGGGGTTTTATGAGGGGATGGGGTTACATCGTGTTGAGAGGAGAAGAAAATTAAGGGTACAGAGGTATACGTCATATTCGAGATACTTATTCCCATCTGTAGATAGGCATGTCATGCACACATACATCTCCAGCACACACACAGGCATAGACACATATGGAGATATTAGCCAGGTGGCGTAGGACTAGTAGTTAGCACCTGATAAGGCAGCTACTGCGAATTCCTCAAAATTGTATTGATTCATGTATATGCTACTTGCATTAATTGTATATCTATGTACTGTTAAGCGCTTTAGAGTGGCTTATGTAAGCTAGATAGGGCGCTATATCAAATGTTGTATATTTATTTTTATCATTTATGTGAGGGGGGCTTGTGTTCTGGAAACTTGTATCTTTGATAAAACAGAGTTTCGGAAAATATAAAACAATGTATCAAGAATAATATGCCCTTCTTTTGCACGTCAACTGAATTACATAACGTATCTTAAAAACTACATGTGGCTTGACATTGTTTTAGAAATAAATAACCCAAACTAGCTGTAGTCAGCATTTTAGTTTTTGTCAGGTACGTCTGGACCACTCAATCTACACGTGCCATATTTTCCTGAGGTCAGCCTCGGTCCAGATCTGTGCCTGTCGTTTTCTTTACAGGTTCAACCGGATACGTGAATGTATCCTAAAAGTTACCATAATTTGCTTTTGCACTAGAAAAAGGCAAAGTTCATTTCATAACTGTACTCTGATTTCACAAGAATGTTTCATCAAAATACAAATGCTTCATCTTGGAAACCAGGCCACCAGAAACAAGCTCAGAGTTGTTGTAACGATATCACAGCCATATTTCTCTCAAAACAATTTCTAGTTTGTTGTTTTCAATACCCTCTGCTGCTACCAACAGTGGGGAACATCTCAAGGTATGAAGCATGAGCTAGGAGCTGGCACTACGACACCTCGGACGTTTTCTTTGCGACTTTCGCTGTGAGCATCCTCTCCCGGTCCTGTTCTCTCTCCCTTTGTTGTTCTCTCTGCATCTCCTCCTTTGCTTTCTGCTGTTGTAGCTTTAAAGCCCTTTTCTGAATGAAAGAACACCAACATTTAAATGAAAAGGCACAAATGATATATTCTGAAGTACAATTTGTTTATACTTGCCGTGCTGAGTTTGATAACATAAATTTACCAAGAGAATTAGTGATTTCGTCTCATCAAATTTTTATTTAGCGAAATGGAAAAAAGAAAACAACTTTTCTGAATTATACATTCAGATAGAAAGGCAAAAAAGATATTCTGAAGTGTTAATAATTGGAACACAAAGCTTGCTGTGCTAATTTTGTCTATATTAATTTTCAATGAAAATATGTGAATTTAATGGAAACAAGAAAACATCCTGGTTCCTGTACATTACACCTCTGTATGGAGAACAATTGTAATCACAGCAATGCAGTCCCCAAACATTCTGAAATGTGTGACAGGACCGTACCTTGAGTTTAAAGGATCGCTCCGACAAGGACTGCATATCCTTCCTTATGTTGGTCAATTTGGCATAATACTTTTTGGCTTGGGCCATCTGGAATGTAACAACATTGATACACACCCATGAAAGTCTAACTACACAGAGCTCAAAACTCATTCATTTAGTCAATCACAAACTTTTACAGGTGAGTAAGGTAATAAATATACCTGTTAAATTATAGGAAATTTCAGATTAAAGTCAGCTTTGACAGTAAAATTTCAACAAGTAAAAACTGCATTTGTAAATACACACACAGAAAAGATGAATCATTTACTACACCAGCCATATATTACAAGAGGCCCATGGGCCTTAACGGTCACCTGATATATTTATACAGAGAGTTGATTTTGTTTTTAACATGAACAGAAATATTATTCAAAGTGTCAAAAAACAATAAAACCACCTTATTCAATATCTAGCATACAGATTTAAGACTAAAAAGTATTTGAAACTAGCACCTCTGATTCTAAACAGGGAAAATGAAGAAATTTTAGCACACCGACTCCTTTGGGCCCCACCCTACAGCCCTTGGGGGTAGGGCTGGCTCAAAATTTTCAAAGTATCAAACTGTCAACTCAAGGTTATAATTCCAATCAAGTTATTAACATGTAATATTCAAAGTATCATTTGCCATTATAAACCATAATAAATTTTGCCGCCCCTTCCTTCCCCAGGGGGTAAACGTGAGACCCTAGGGTCATAAACCTTAAGACCCTTCCATCTATGAAGAGTATTTGATTCTACCATATCTGGGTCTTGAGAAGAAGATTTTGAAATTTTAGTCAATTTGACACTTTTTGGCCCCGCCCCTCAGGCCCCTGGGGGCTTGGGACTAAACCGGCAACTGTTTTTGTTGACCTTTGTCCATGGAAGGTTCCTGCAAAATTTCAGTGAAATTGGTTCAGTGGTTTTGGAGAAGAAGTCGAAAATGTAAATTGTTTACGGACGCACGATGGACGACGTCGGACCAAAGGTGATCGCAATAGGTCACTTGAGACTTTGTCTCAGACGACCTTAAAATAGAACTGGCTGACATTCTTGCCAACTCTTCATATTTTGGAGGGGATTCCCAATTTCAGGTCCTTAAATATAACATTTCCAAATAGTGAACCTGCTAAATAATTCAAATATTCTAAAATCTAAAAGAACAAATTAAAAAATGTTATTTGAAATGTTCTTTTATCCATAGGGTATTATATACACATATATAATTTTAATTTCAATTTTGACTATGCAGAATCTCCCCCATGGAAATTAAAAGGTTATCAAGTATGGACAGGTTTAATCCTAGATTAATTTCAACTTTTTAAAATCTCTTATAGTCTTTGTCTCCCTTTTCCTATAATCCAAAACCTAATAAAAATGTATTTCAAAAATGAAAACGAAAGGCCATTTAATGTATTTTACAAAATGTTACTTACCAGGTAGTTTTTTCTCCATCTTACGTAAATGTGAGATACTATCATACCGTCTCTATGAGGTCCTCGATGGCCTCACACTCATCAAACTTACCGTCTCTATGAGGTCCTCCATCAATGGCCTTACACTCCTCAAACTTATCGTCTCTATGAGGTCCTCGATGGCCTTACACTCCTCAAACTTACCGTCTCTATGAGGTCCTCCATGGCCTTACACTCCTCAAACTTACTTTCTCTATGAGGTCCTCCATTGCCTTACACTCCTCAAACTTATCGTCTCTATGAGGTCCTCCATGGCCTCACACTCCTCAAACTTACCATCTCGATGAGGTGCTCCATGGCCTCACACTCCTCAAACTTGCCATCTCTATGAGGTACTCCATGGCCTCACCCTCCTCAAACTTACCATCTCTATGAGGTCCTCCATCCATGGCCTTACACTCCTCACACTTACCGTCTCTATGAGGTCCTCGATGGCGTTACACTCCTCAAACTTACCGTCTCTATGAGGTCCTCCATGGCCTCACCCTCCTAAAACTTACCGTCTCGAGGTCCTGCATGGCCTTACACTCCTCAAACTTACCATCTCTATGAGGCACTCCATGGCCTCACACTCCTCAAACTTACTGTCTCTTTGAGGTCCTCCATGGCCTTACACTCCTCAAACTTTCCGTCTCTATGAGGTCCTCCATGGCCTTACACTCCACAAACTTACCGTCTCTATGAGGTTTTCCATGGCCTTACACTCCTCAAACTTACTGTCTCTATGAGGTTCTCCATGGCGTCACACTCCTCAAACTTACCGTCTCTATGAGTTCCTCCATCCATGGCCTTACACTCCTCAAACCTACCGTCTCTATGAGGTCCTCCATGGCCTCACCCTCCTAAAACTTACCGTCTCGAGGTCCTGCATGGCCTCACAATCCTCAAACTTACCATCTCTATGAGGTACTCCATGGCCTCACACTCCTCAAACTTACAGTCTCGAGGTCCTGCATGGCCTCACACTCCTCCAACTTACCATCTCTATGAGGTACTCCATGGCCTCACTCTCCTCAAACTTACCGTCTCTATGTGGTCCTCCATGCCCTCACCCTCCTCAAACTTCCCGTCTCTTTGAGGTCCTCCATGGCCTTACACTCCTCAAAAATAGTCTCTATGAGGTCCTCCATTGCCTTACACTCCTCAAATTTACCGTCTCTATGAGGTCCTCCATGGCCTCACACTCCTCAAACTTACCGTCTCTATGTGGTCCTCCATGCCCTCACACTCCTCAAACTTACCGTCTCTTTGAGGTCCTCCATGGCCTTACACTCCAGAAACTTACCGTCTCTATGAGGTTTTCCATGGCCTTACACTCCTCAAACTTACCGTCTCTATGAGGTCCTCCATGGCCTTACACTCCACAAACTTACCGTCTCTATGAGGTTTTCCATGGCCTTACACTCCTCAAACTTACTTTCTCTATGAGGTCCTCCATTGCCTTACACTCCTCAAACTTATCGTCTCTATGAGGTCCTCCATGGCCTTACACTCCTCAAAAATAGTCTCTATGAGGTCCTCCATTGCCTTACACTCCTCGAACTTACCGTCTCTATGAGGTCCTCCATTGCCTTACACTCCTCAAATTTACCGTCTCTATGAGGTCCTCCATGGCCTTACACTCCTCAAACTTGGTTTTTTCCTGTTGTATCGTCTCAATCAGTATACCCTGATTCTGCCTGTAACAGAAGTTTACCTTCACTTCATACAGTTGTCAAATCATTTGTAGGGGTTAGGTCTATTTCTCCCACAACCACTATAGGTTACCTCACTCCGGACTCATTGGATAAACACACTAGGAGTTGGTGAACATTTTTGGTTACCCACTAGTGGGTAACACCGGTACGCTAGACATTATTTATGTGCAATCTTCTATTTATGCTGAAAAGTAACAACGCTTTGCGACACCAGCTTCCATCGCAACGTCATTTTCATGGCAATTGTGTCCCTGAACTTAAGTGAGAAACAGGAATAATGTATTCTCATGAAAAACATTTGGTTTTCTAGATATGATACATATATCTGAATGTTATGGAGAAAATAAAAACATTGACAGACAATTAATTCATACTTTTGAAAGACAAAATAATTGAACAATTCTAGATTGTTATTGGAATTGGAATTGTTATAAATGGATAGATTTCCAATGAGTATATAATCTAGGAATTGAATTTGTCAAAAACTATAGCAATTTATCAACATCGTGAAACATTGTTACGACGGTAATCAATATAATCTCGAAAAAAACCTCCAACTGACTCCTTACATCGATATAGGTGTACACAAAACTTACAGGATTTCATTGAGTGAGCTTTTGGATTTCTGTAGGTTGGGTAGGTAGTGTCCGAGGGTTCCGATGCTGAGTTTCTCTATGATAGCAGGGTCTATAGAGATACAGTCCTCTGTAAACAAATATACAATTATCGCCTCAATGTCATATTAATGTCATATTTGATAAAACAGTGAAGGGATCATCAACATTTGACACATAACTTAAATTTATTTCCAAAATCAGTTTTTCTGAAAACAAGTTGGGAAAACAATAAGAAAACTGGGGATTTTATTTTGTCATTTATCTTTGTCAAATTAGAATTGTGTGCATGACAACAAGACAGTTCAATTGCTTTGATTCAGAAAAACAAATCAGAATTTTATTTCCATGAGTTTGTAATACAAAGGTCAATTAAGCCAATGGGAGATAATTTTCTTATTGAGATATAGTGGGTTTTTTATCCATAATAAACAAACATCGAAAGTTGCTTTACTTTCATATGTGCTAAAGGACTTGACATTAAAGATACCAAAACAATTTCACTTGGTTGTCAACAGTCAATGTTGAAAGGGCAAACAGCTACAATGTAACCAGTTGAAGTTAAAAGCTTTAAAAGATAACCTACTGTTTAAACACATTGCTTGACCATGTAGTGTGGTATATATATATTAAAAGAATTTCCATATAATTCCCATAGTAATCTTACCCTCCTCTTCTTTCTCCTCCATTTCTGTAATTGCATCACTTGTCTCATCTTTATTTTCAATTTCTAGCACTGTGTCTCCAATATTTGTCTCCCCTTCTAATTCATTTGGGATTACCTCCCCTGTTGTGCTAGCTTCTCCACTCATAGGATGAAGTTCAATCTAATGCAAACAAAAAATGTCTTAAATAATTCTGTTATCCGTGCCTACTCCAATTCTCAACCACCTTCATTTAATATCTACCATTCTCTATATTCCAGAGGTTAAACAACACAGAGCTATACCACTTTGGACATGTGAATGAAAATTCATAATTTGATGATAATCAGTTTGTTGAAATTATTTAAAGGACAATAAAGCAAGAGCAAAATATGAAGAAAAGAAAGATTAACATAGAGACCCTTAAAAAAATAAAAAAGAGAGTATAAGACCAGGTGTTCAGGAAGGGTAAGCGTCCTTCATCTTCCGCAATATACATCTAAGTCTAAGTAATGTGATTGTCAAGTCCACACATTGAGAACACTGGTAGTGACAACAAAACCAAAAGACATTCTTATGAGCATAATCAAAAACATCAACCTTCATATTACAAGTGAAATAGTATTTTTATTATTTTCTTGTGAGAAGCTGATGGCGACCATACAATTTTTCTGAATTTAACGAACCCCTGTGTTTTACATTATGAACAACCTGTTTAAAAGATCTTTGTGCTGTTCCCCATGTCAGAAGTAAAGTTGTTACTGTAAACGGGTCGCTGTTACCTAAATGCAGGAATATTACCTATATGGGACATTGTGCACTCTCTGTACAATTGTCGGGGCCGAGGAGTACGGGTAGTTCTAGTACTAATATTAATACCCGGCCTCCTCTGACGACGCAATGTATAAAAAAAAATATCTCGTCGTCAGAAAGCTACGTTATTGTAGTTCTAGTCCGGGTATTCTACAGTCCACACTTACCTACAGTGCCTTTTATTTTCTACTTTCACTTCCTGCATATCAATGTCATCAAAAACAGACAGCTATAAATTACGAATTATACATTAAGCTTTGCATGTAAATAAACCAAAAGTGATAATATAACGATCATTAGTTGTCGTCATTCACAAAACAAATGGTAAGGTTTACCTTTTTCTTACAAATCTAAATTTCTCTCCCTCCTCCTTGTGACTGTCTAATTAGAGTGGCTTCCCTTTATTTTGCTTTACCACATTATTAATGTCCAATTACTTTCGCTATGTCAATATATTAGTGAATTTTTATTTTTTTGTGTCAATGAATTTATTATGTAATATTAAAGTGTATTGTGAAAGTATTTTGAATAAATATGATTTATCAAAGAAATATATTTTTGAAGTTCTGTAGGAAAAAGGTAAATAACTGGAGCGACATCTACATCCGGCATAAATATGGCGACCGAAAACATTTTAGGAACCGGCGAGTTATGGAGAAATGGACCTGCTCCTGGTTCCTTGTATCAATTCCCTGGGAATCAGTCGTCGCAGACTAGTTCACAGATTGGGCCAGCAAAACGTACCATGTAAGTTTTGATAATACGAATTAAAATCACGGTTTTACTATCGGTAATCTCTAATTTAGACTTCTGCTGAATCACGAACTCACCCCCCCCCCTTTTTCCGCTACTCTTTCTTGCTTCATTCATAGACGCTTTTATCTGTTTGAACTTAATGGTGGACCAATAGACAATCACAGTAAAAACACTGTAAGCCTAAAGCAATATTCAATAAGTTTCCTCATTGACCAAGATGACTTATTACAAAATACAACAAGATTTATTTAGAGTCGTACATGTTAAACAACGAACATTAGCTCTGTAGTAGCTATGCCCAACTATTTTTTTTTAAACCAAAAGTGATTTATTTCTTGTCATTTTCCTAGAGACTACCATAACCTGATTACAAAACAGCAATCAGAACCATGTTATCTTCAAAATTGGATTTTTACGAATTTTTTGAAATCGTGAAATTTCACAATTGTTTTTTAGCATTTTCCTGAAAACAATCAAAAAAGCGTACAAGGTCAATAACATGGTATATATGGGAGAATTTGTTTTCTCTTTTTTTACCACAATTTCAGAACCAATCTATTCTATTGTAAAATGAAAGATTTCCATGCTAAATATCACCCCTCACTCCGGAGATGATGCTAAAATGTTACTTCACAAAGAGTTACCTCCCCTTACAAAACACAATGAATGACATTAATAATCTCATTTAATTATATATATTGATGCACCAGTCTCAGTGGTAATTACACATCTTCTTTCTTATCGTTCGCCTTTACACTTGAATACCAGTCTCCTCAACAAATCTGGTGGTCTTCTGTGCTAAGGGCATCCACTGGTCCACATAGCTTTTCTTTGAGTGGTAACGTTAACACTCACTCACTCACTCACTAACTGTTGGTGAATGCCATATCTTATCTCTCATGATCAGTGCCTGATGGATCTTCCATGACTGTAAGAGGTGTGCAGTATCCTGCTCTGCTTCTCCACAAGGACACATTGGAGATGAAACAACTTTCATGACTTTGTATAGATGTTGATTGAGTCTGTTGTGTCCTGTCGGAAGATGGTAGTTTGGTCAGATCTTGTTGGTGGTAACTGTCTTGTTGCTGATGGGTGTTGAACAGAGATTTGATGATAGTCTTCATCTCTGTGTAGCAGACTGGATTTTCTTCCTGTTATTGTTCAGCACCATTCTTTGCTAATTTATCGGCTTGTTCATTACCCCAAACTCCACAGTGAGAAGGAATCCACTGTAGAACTGTTGTCAGACTTTTGATGGTGTATAAAGCTTGTTCAAGTTGAGGTTAAGCTTGTCGTTTGTCAAAGCTTGTAGCACAGAGAGGGCATCAGTCAGGAATACTACTTGAGTTGTGTTATCAATTTTGTTTTTGATGGAGTGTGCAGCATGAATAAGGTCTTCTTCAACTTAGTAGTTTGAACAATGTAGGCCTGTTGGTATTGCTTCTGATTGTTGATCTCAGTTGGGGTACTTAATGTATATACCAGCCCCTCCTTTTATTGTGGCATTTGCTTACCCAGGAGTCTGAAGGGTACTTGTCTTCAAGCATACTCATTGTAATTACACATGATCTGATATGTTTTAGTCAGATAAATCATTAAAATAATATTTAAAAACAAAAAATTGTATTTGTACATGGTGTATGATCTGACAAGTTTTATTTATATAAAAAAAAAAAAATGATATTGAAAAACAAAAGCATGTCATATCAATTAGATATGTTTAATGTAAACTATGTACAGACCAACCATTGTATAGTTTTTGTATGTCAGACAACACTGAAACTCGAAATAAATTTAAATTTAGGTCTATTCAATTTCTAACTGTATCAGCGTATGTAAACTAAGTCAAGACTGAGTGACAGTAACTTAATTTAAAAGTTTAATCATTTAGAAACAAGTAAATAGTACCGAAATTTATACAAATATACATCATTTAATGTTTAAAATATATACAGAAAACAAAGAGAACAGATACCTTTACACGATAGGTAAACAACCGTTAATGCAATATCCTTCTAGCGAGTTTTGTCTGGTACAGGTGGGATTTGTTTACGTTTTCGAGGCGAGGTGTCCGCCATATTGGATTTACCGTTATACTACCCCTTGGGATTTCAACAGCATTTTTCATACCAAGAACGGTTTTGACAGATTGGCATATATATATACTTATTTTAAGGGATAATTACTGAACATTTGTATATAATTTTGATGGATGTACTCGGTTTTATAAGGAAATTGTCGCTTCTGCAATATTTCACAATCTCCGCTCCTTGCGTTTCCGCCATGATATTTGTAATATAGACTGTAGTAAAGTGACGAGGGATATCGAAGATAAAATTCCTACCATGTATCCATTTCTATAACACGGACAAGCACGATAAAATCACCGTTCTTCCGATGGTATAAAAGTGTGACGAAATTTTGGCGCGGCGCGAAAATTCAATTGGAGTTATCTCCCCTTAGCTTGGGCATAGCTACTCAGTCTGTAGAGCTATTATTACGACAAAATCTAGGGTGTGTAGATCCTAAATTCTAACACTGTTTTATTTTTTATTTCTAACACGTTTAAATTAATATCCAAACCATGTGTGAAGTGTAGATAATTACAGATTTTAGATTATAATTCAAATCCGGATGAAGAAATACCAGATACAAGAAGATACTGGAGCACCGCCAAATCTGTCTATAAATTTGAATATATCTATACGTATATAAGGATGAATGTAAACAAACACACCAGTACTGGCCGTAATTATCTCGTGAACATCAATTGAAACTTGTGAAATGGAAGACTTTCACCTAAAAACTCTATTTTCATTCAGTTGTTTGAATTTCATTGTTGCATTTTTTCCCTGTCAACATACATCACTTATCAGTAACAAACTATAGCGTTTCTATTCAATATGACGTCTATGTGTTACTGAAGATAAGCATCCCGACGATGCAGATTCTGCCCCTGCTTTCAGAAGATATGCTTCCGAGTAAGAATGATAACATGCATTGAATGTTGTTCATGTGTCGAGAGGGAGTGAGGTATTTTGTGTTTTGGTACAGAAATTGTAAATATTCCTGTCTGACAGATGGAGATGCTAAAAGGATGCAAGTACCAAGAATTGCAATGGTGACATTAATATTCAACAAAGTCACCGGAAATTGAGTTTTTAGATAAAAAATCTTTCATTTCACAGACTCATTTGTTTGGTCAATGCTTCAAACAATGTTATCAAAATGTTGTATTTACCCTGGTGCTGTCAATTTATTTTACAGGGCTCCCACAGTTACTGGTACCTCAGTGCTGGGCCTAAAGTTTGATGGAGGTGTGATTATAGCCGCAGATATGCTTGGGTCTTATGGTTCACTGGCCCGCTACAGGAATCTCTCTCGTATACTAAAGATTAATGACAGCACAGTGATTGGTTGCGGTGGTGACTACGCCGACTTCCAGTACCTTAAGTCGACAATTAACCAGAGAGTGTAAGTTTTTGTGATACCGATGAAAACTTGTGTTCATATGTACTGCACAGCTATAAAGTTTTCCAAAACTGGCGATGTTTAAACAATTTTAACAGGAGAAAGAGAAATGCAATAGCCAGACCATGGATTAAGCCTGTCCCTAGACTAAATGCTTCAACAGTTGAGCTACCTGGTCGCCGATGATCGATCCAGTCCAGTTCAACTACACCATATAAAAATATATGTTGATTCAAAATCTGTTATTAAAATATTGTATGTAAATTATTTCTTATATCATACATGAAAGAAATGGGTGATAAAAACAAACCCACTACTCAATTACAATAATTTATTATTTTGTACACTGTATTTGCAGTAAAAGCAGAATAGAGAAAGATCCCTTGAAAGAAATTGACTGGTTGTCATTTCATAGTCACCTGATCATGATCAATACAATTAATGGTATCAACACCTGACCAACCAACCTACCCTATCTTTTTCTGTCATGTTACCAAAACATTTCATATGGCATTGATACATATAATTCATCCATTCCTAAACAATAATTATGATAAGTGTTATATCACTGCTTCTGCTACTTGAAACATTTTCTAAAAAAGATAGCAAGGACATTAGTGCGTTACAGACCTGTCTAGTCTATGTCATTTTTTTATTTCCAATGGCTGGTGTATGTTACAGTATAGATGAAGAATGTTGGGATGATGGTTTCCAGTACACACCCAAGTCCCTGTTCTCCTGGATGACCAGGTTCATGTACAACCGACGGTCAAACTTTGACCCACTTTGGAACACCACTGTAGTTAGTGGAATAGAGGATGGTCAGCCGTAAGTATTACAAAAAACAGATTGGATCTCCAGATCACTACTTCTATTATTCCTGTATACACATTTCTTGTTATTTATGAGACATACATATATACATGTATTATACAGTGTTCTCCTCCTCAGAATGTTTTGAAAGAAGCATGGTATTTCAATATTTCTGTTAAAGCAGCAATCTATGCAAAATCAAAGCAGCATGGTAACTTTAGATTTACTATGAATATATAGCAGAGAAGATCTAGGATAGCAGCATGGCAAGAAATTATAGGAGCATGGTGCCATGCTGCAAAAACAGCTCGGGGAGATTACTGCTGTATATACAAATCTCAGAGGTTATCATAAATCAACCAAAAATCTACTGTATACAGGGAATTTTTAGCAGCAGTTTTAACTTTTGCCCTTTTCATCATCTGCAATGAGGTTAAATTTGTTTTGCGAGCAAGTACTAGTACGAATCGTACCCTATGTGGAAGGTAAAATTTACACTTGACAATTTTTTTACCAGTAAATATCTGGCGAATATTGGACTGGGGGATAATTTCCAAGTATAGATTAGGCCATAATAAATTAATTGCTAGATTCTCATCCAAATTCTTTTCAAAATTGGGGCGGGGTGGCGAATTTTATTTTTTATTTTTTATTTTTCCTAAAATTTGAAATGGTTGCAAATGTGTTAAAAAAGTGCAATAAAGGCGCATGTTCAGTGTACATTTATCTTTATTTTTTGTTAATAACAACTTTGAGTATGCAGTATACACATTGAACACCATTTCACTGTTCAGTCCACATATATATCTGTACTAACTTTTGGTATGAATACACACCACATTACTTTTCCAAAAATCGTCCTCTTTAAATTACAGTGACCTTGCCATTGTTGCTTTAGAAAATCCCGACATTAAAATTGTAAATACGTCGGATTTCGCACTGGCAGTTGCCGACTGCTCTTCTATATCAGCATCAATATTAAATTTTAAATAAGCTCCGAGGTGCAACATCACTTCCCCCACCGTAAATGCGATATCACACTGGGTCAGTTCCACTTTCGATTTACCGGCCGACACAACGGCCCTGTTACCACACTCCATGGGCGCAGATTTGTCAATTGTTCCTTCGGCTAATTCATGAAATACCTGAATTCATGTTTTAGTATCGGCTACTGGACACCCATACCAATCTTTAAGAACGGCAAGTTGCCGTTTCAGCTTTAGAATTACAAAAACCATACTTGCAGACGACGAGTTTTCTACAACCGAAAATTGATAATATAAAACTAATTTTTGAAGCGGAAAACGGAGAAAAAAATCCGGATTTCATATTTTCGTGTTTTTTTTCGCAAATAAAAAAAATTGGGGCGGGGCCTCAAACAGGGGGTGGGCGGGGATGAGAATCTAGCAAATAATTTATTATGGCCTTATAGAATCTGTATATAGCAGAAAATATTCCATGTTTCTGAATATTATTTTCTTTATATGTAGATACTGTTATATGTAGGTTCTTGATCTAATTACATTGAACAACATGTTTCCATGTGAATTCTAAAATATGGATGTATAAATGTGATAGTAAATTGTTTTCCACTATACTAATTTGTAAACAAACTTTCTTACCTATACTATGTTACATTTCAGATTCCTGGGTTACGTGGACAAGATCGGTGTGGCCTATGAAGCTCCAACAGTGGCGTCAGGCTATGGTTCCTATATTGCACTGGTAAGATGCGCCCTCCCTTTCCCCATCATTTTAAATTCAGAGGTTCAAACAGTTCAATCAATTGTTTAGAAATTCTGCACTCGCCCCCTGGGTTTCTGGCTGCTTTTCTTCAAAATGACCATTAAAGTGTTGATAGGCTATTGAATAAACCAACAAAATAAACAAATTAACAGTTCATTGCCTGATTCTCTTTGAATTGGGGTCTGTTCATTTATGCAGAAGTGGTTGAACCTTTGGATCGCGTTAAATGCAAGTGACCCTGAGGTCTATGATATTTTGACAAATATTTTACTGATCTTGAAAAAATATCTTTATATATTTTAGGAAATCTATTGACGTTGTGTTAAAATTGTAAATTGTCCTAAATTTAAAAAGTCCATCAAGCGGACACCATTGTATAGGAAACCGTATCCATTATGAGTTCCTACCTTGATTCTCTGTGCATGTTTTCAGCCACTACTGAGGGATGCCTATGCTAAAAACCCTAACATGACTATGGCAGAGGCAGAACAGCAAATAGAGAGATGTATGAAGGTCCTCTTCTACAGGGACGCCCGCTCACTAAACAAGGTAGGAGACAGTTTAGAGATATGTATGAAAGTCTTCTCCTAGATAAGTATGAAGGTCCTCTTCTACAGGGAAGCCCGCTCACTAAATAAGGTAAGGCATAGTTTAGAGATATGTATGAAAGTCTTCTCCTAAATAGGTGTGAAGGTCCTCTTCTACAGGGACACCCGCTCACTAAATAAGGTAAGACCTAGTTTAGAGATATGTATGAAAGTCTTCTCCTAAATAGGTATGAAGGTCCTCTTCTACAGGGACGCCCACTCACTAAATAAGGTAAGACACAGTTTAGAGATATGTATGAAAGTTTTCTCCTAGATAGGTATGAAGGTCCTCTTTTACAGGGACGCTCACTCATTAAATAAGGTAATAGACCACACAGGTAAGATACCTGAATGAAAGTCTTCTCCTACATCGACCTTGGCTTACTTAACAAAGCAAGTAACATCACAGTTACAGATCTATATGAATGTCATTTACAGAGATGCTCTCTCATTGATCAAAGCAACATTCTTAGCATTTACACACCATAGAATATATGTTTATGTGATGAGGATTTCTTATATCCTAACCCTAGTAAAGCTTTCAAATCATCAAGAATAAATTTACTTAAAATATTCATTTTCACATGAAATTAAGGAAAAATGTGAAAGAATAAAGATGTTTATACACAATTTATTTGGTCTATCAAGTAATTGATCTCAATAGTCCATCAGTGTTTTTCATGGTGATTGTCGTCAATGAGTCTACTGATAATTTCAAACACTGGGAAGAGTAAACATAGCCTAGTTGTGCAGAGATGCTTGTCACTGAAGTGTCATCTACATGCTTGCACAAATAAACTGTATGGAACCTGGACATGAATTTTCTCAAACAAAATTTCAGACCACGCTTATGTTTTGTAAAAGTAGGTTTTCCCAAAAGTATTAACACAAATTCTCTTCACAAATTTGACTTTCCTTGTGCTATAGTTTGAGGTAGCTGTTGTAACAAAGGATGGGGCCATGATACGATCCAACATCGAAGCCAAGGCGAACTGGGAGATTGCACATCTGATCAAGTAAGTTGTTATACTAAACACTCGTCTCCATTGTGTATTGACATTTCCACATATGCCAAATCAGGGATATTTGGTCTGTTTTATAATAATAAACACGTGGTGTAAGAAAAGTATAACAGTTGATAATGTAAAAGTGTAACATACTTGGAAAAGGTCTCAACTATATGTTAATTTGGGTGCTCATACATAAGAACTGTTAAAAAGTTGAAATCATTAATTAAATCAGAGGAAAAAAGATTCTATCTTGAAAACTTAATACAGTGGAACGGCTTATTATGATATTCTATTAGTTTGAGAAAAATATCATAATAACCAATACATGTATACACTTAATTTGACCCTTATATTTATTTTCAGGGGGTATGAATGAACAAAATCTTGCTTTGTGGAAGGATTGTGTGCTGTATGGAAATTGTTGAGGATGGACCAAGACATTTGTCAACTCAAGTTCATACTTTGAGTCAGTGTAAATGGTATCTTGAATATTTGATACATTCATGTGTGATGTTATGATGAACTTTTTGGAGACCATCCCATCCACCAGCTACTCAAGTGCTGACACTTAAAAGTGCTAAACACGACCAGAAGATTGAGTGTTTGTGAGAAAAAACAATAAAATATTCATTATTTGTATCAATGAAATGTTGATACAATAATTTGTATGACAGACAAGTGTGAATGTGATAGTATGTATCAATAAAAGTATGAAATGTTGATTGGTTATTTTAGTTATTTCTAAATTGTGGACATGTTTTTATCAAAATACTTATATTTCTGTACACATATGACAATTTGAAAGTCGCATGAATACTAGGATTTTTTCAGAACACTGTTTTCCAAATTTTGAAGGGTCTCGGTACTAAAATATAAAGTGGTGGTCTCACAGGAGACTAGGATTCAGAGATATGTGTGTCCAAAAAGTACTGTAGCTTGTCTTAACTATACAGGAAAGAATGATTTAAGCAATTATTATGCTACATCTGAATTGTGGGGGAAATGACAACATATGATTATTGCTAAAATACAATATTAAGGTAATGGTGGCTTCATGACTAACTTGCTTGTAAACTGGCATGAACATGAAAACAATGTCTTCAGTAATATTATGTATAAAGTTCTGAATTGATCTAACTGTGAAATCTTATTTTCTTGGGGTCTCAATTCACAACAAAACACCATTTCGTGTGGGGAGTACATGAATTTGTGGATGACATGTACCTACTCAACGGAATTAGAATTTAATTCTATTTATTACATTTTACATCCTGACAAGATTACCTTATATGGATCAAACTGCAGCTAAACACAACATAAACATCTTGTAAATATATATAAGCATAATTTGAAAAAAAAGTGAAATTATCTGTTTTTCCGTCATTTTGAACTAGGCAGCAGTGACCTACTTTTAAAATGTTTTAAATATTTTAACAAATCGAATACATAGTTGTTACTACCATCTAAATATATTGAAAATCAGAGCTCAAGTTTTCATCTCTCCTATAAGTTCACCCCTTCATTTTACTATGCAAGGATCGATTGATTGATCTGAAAACGAAACCCGATTCCAACCCCAAAGGCATCCGGTTAACTATTTAATTGGTTTTAAGAAAAAACGACAATAACATTCGCTAGGCTGATGTCCGTCTTTTGAAGATTTGAATTTTTAGCCAACCATCATCTGATGGTGGGCTATTCAAATCACCCTGCGTCCGTGGTCCGTCTTCCGTTGTCGGTCCGTTGTCCGTCCTTAAACAATTCTTGTTATCGGTATTTCTCAAGAAGTTCCACAGGGATCTTTCTCACATTTTATATGTAGGTTCCCCTTGGTCCTTAGCTGTGCAGGGCAACTTTTGAGACTGATCGGATAAACAACATGGCCGACAGGTAGCCATCTTGTATTTTGATAGTGAAAGTTTGTTATCGCTATTTCTCGGGAAGTACGGGAGGGATCTTTCTCAATTTTTTTATGTAGGTTCCCCTTGATCCCTCGTTGTGCATGTTATATTTTGAGACTGATCATAAAAACAAAATGGATTAAAAGAAGAACTAAACAGATCTTTCTCATATTGCAATGATCAATTCTATTTCTTTCACATTAAGTACTGTACTAGTAAATATGTGAAATGACAAACTCACTTTGAAGGTTGGCTTTCATACACACCAGTATTAAGTTTAGATCAAAAGTTACCTCAAGGTGCATTTACTAATAACATGACTCAATCAAAAAGATTAGAGGAAAGAAGAGAAAAGATCGAACTGACAAAGAACTAATGAAGATGGTACAAAGGTGGGTGCCAATATCCTTCTGGGATCTGTTGTATCATTATCCTGCCGTGCGATTCTTTGCAATTACATCGGAGGATCAAACTTGTCTTCTTGTACATATCATCTATAAGGTGGCGAGTGTTTTCCAGGGGTTAATAGAGCCTGACCCCTGGAATACAAAGGGATGGTGGAGCTAGTAGCGAGATAGTTGAGAGTGCACAAAATGTGTTATGACTACAAAATATGGTTGAATGATTTATTTCTGCGCATATCTGTCGAATATGTAAAGAATACATATACATGTATATCAAACATATCGTACAATAAATAGAGCAGGGGCCGAGTGGTTAAGACGTCTGGTATTCTGCTATACCACTATAGCCTTCCACAACTGGGTCGCGGGTTCGAGGACTACGTGGGGCAGTCTCCAGGTACTAGCCACAGTTTCTCCGCCACTAAAACCTGGCACGACCATAGCTGTGTTAGGACGTAAACACAAACAAACAATCAATAATACACAATACTCGTTTATTTCTTTGTTTTTAACCAAGTAACAATGTACCAATGTCATAATTTCTAGAACTGAAGAATAAACACAAGAATGTATAATTACAATACGATGGGACTTCGGGCTGAAACGGGGTAAAATATGAAAACACTCACGAATTATCTTATCATACAAACCAATATGAAAGAAATTCGTTGTCAAAATGGATGAAATATGTTTTATTAATGATTTTTATCGATTAATGATATTTTTTTCCTTACAACATCCAGGAGAAATGTTTAAGCAAACAGATATGCATTAAAAGACTAACATCTATTTTTTTGTTCATTACAAAATTTAAGCACGTGAACAATACCACTTGATATCAAGCACGTCAAAAACTGTTTTAAAATATAAATATATAAGGAGGTATGCAAAAAGATACAGGAATATATTAAAATATATGGTTTAAATATCGTTAAAAACGTTATAAAAACCTTCATAAAACGAAGATATGCGTTATTAAAAAATGCATGGCATTATACATAGATCTTGGGGAGATCTTCGTAGAAGAGACATGTTTGGCTTCATTGTTTGAAAAGAACTCGGAAACAACTTTCATGCATCGTTACTTGTAAAACTCGAGTCACTAAAATAACAAAATATGAGTTCTCCAGCAACGAAGTAATGTACAAACAATACACGCTCGCACATTAATGTATTCACTCAATTTGTGGGTTTTTAGGTCACCTGAGACAAAGTCTCAAGTGACCTATTGCGATCGCCTTTTGTCCGTCGTCGTCCGTCGTCTGTCGTCCGTCGTCCGTCCGTAAACAATCTACATTTTCGACTTCTTCTCCAAAACCCCTGAACCAATTTCAATGAAATTTTGCAGGGACCTTCCATGGACAAAGGTCAACAAAATTAGTTGCCGGTTTAGTCCTACGCCCCAGGGGTCTGAGGGGCGGGGCTAAAAGGGGTCAAATTGAATAAAATTTCAAAAATCTTCTTCTCCAAAACCCCTGAACCAATTGCAATGAAATTTTGCAGGGACCTTCCATGGACAAAGGTCAACAAAAAAAGTTGCCGGTTTAGTCCTACGCCCCTAGAGGCCTGAGGGGCGGGGCCAAAAAGGGGCGAATTGACTAAAATTTCAAAAATCTTCTTCTCAAGACCCAGATATGGTAGAATCAAATACTCTTCATAGATGGAAGGGTCTTAAGGTGCTTTACCGAAATTGTGAATTTCTTGACCCTGGGGTCTCACGTTTCCCCCTGGGGAGGGGGTAAACTTTACTATAGTTTATATAGGGAAATCACATTTTGGACCAACATTTGTTTAATTTCCATTGGAAGTAATTCAATTTGGGTTAGCATTATCAGTATTAGGTAGCAGTTTGATAGTATGCACCTATGAGCCCTGACTGACCCCCAGGGGCTGATGGGTGGGGCCAAAAAGGGTTGAATTGACTGAAATTTCAAAAATCTTCTTCTCAAGACCCAGATATGGTAGAATCAAATACTCTTCATAGATGGAAGGGTCTTAAGGTGCTTTACCGAAATTGTGAATTTCTTGACCCTGGGGTCTCACGTTTCCCCCTGGGGAGGGGGTAAACTTTACTATAGTTTATATAGGGAAATCACATTTTGGACCAACATTTGTTTAATTTCCATTGGAAATAATTCAAAAGAAGAAGAGCATCGGATTATTTTACATTTAAGGTTAAGCTATTTTGGTCTGGCGAGACACTGACTAGCTATAAAGAGAACTGCAAAACGAGTTTCATCAAAGGAAAGGAGTTAAATATCATTTTTAACATATCACCATGAATGTATTCGAATACATATTATCGGACTATCCTTTTCTCCAACGTCGTCCGAGTGACTTCACGTCTACTGTGTTCAATAGTGACGTCACAATGGAACAACACGTCCTAAAATAGGGCAGAGTTTGTTCACTGTTTAACATGAAATAAGATTAAAAGACAACGTTCATTGGCAGCGGATTTCCAGGAAAATGTTATAATAATAATAATATCTCTTATTTAACCAGGGTTACATATTTAGACAATGTCTAGTTTACAATATCGCCCTGCATCAAATATATATACAAGCATGACACAATTTAGGATAACAGTATAACAATGTAGTACATATAGTATCATCAAAGTCAATGTAACTTAAAATTTAGCAATCCTAAAAATATAATTAAATAGTGAACACTTGCATATCACACCAGTGTTACCAAATTACATATACATACAATGCTAATATAGCACAGGGTAACACTTGACAGGATATACAGTGATATAGTGTGTATTAAAATGAAACAAAGAAGTCGGTGGTGTAAAAGTAATTTAGAATAGAAAATTATCAAATGCTATTTGCCCAAGGTTACTTGTAAAACGATTTAACTTACTTTACTAATGAAGCCTACACTAGGCGTAGGATTAAGGTCTCTTAGAACGTTAAAATACGCGAGAGTTGTCATTTGCTATCAATTCCTGCTTCGTTGTGTACAGTTACATATGTTTGGCAAGTCAACTTTGAGTAATTCAAGAAAGGATGTCGATCTTTTATAAAACTATATGAATATCTTATTCAATATATAATGCATCTTACATATATAATAAACCATACATAACATAATATATAAAATGTCTTCTAAGCTATGTAGAATGAATTATAAACAGTATATGTATCGATATTGAATTTAGATATATTATGTATATGAAATATAAATATAAACATCATAACATATAGAATATATATAGAAATATAAAGAATTCATAGACATCAATAGCTCAAATATGACATCTTTTTGAGAATAAAATAAAAATAGTATATACCTTATACTATTTCTCGTGTTTTTCTTCATGACATATCATTGACAATTAAAAAAGCTACTCTGTAAAGTTATATTAGACATCCTACATAAATTAAATATCGTTCCTAGATAAGAT